TTGTGGACCGACTCTATGGTCGTACTTCATTGCATCAATAACAGAAAGTCCAAATATAGGACGTTGGTCGCTGATAGACTGGGATTCCTTCATGAAAATACCGAAGTATCGCAGTTGGGGTATGTGCCAGCGCAAGACAATCCAGCAGATCACGCATCAAGTGGAGTCTCTGGTAGCCGCATGAATGTTCTAGACATTTGGTTGCATGGTCCCGTCTTTCTACAAAGCCCAGAGCACATGTGGTCAAAAATGAATGTCAACCGCTCAAGTCAAAAACACCAAGGGTGGTATGGGCACAGACCAAAATAACAAAAAAGGGGGAATCGCGTTGTACAATATAAAAGGTAGGAGAAAGGAATCAACATACATTAACTGACAGATAACACGGGAGGCAGAGGAATCTATTCTGAGCGTGCTTGCTCCCTTGAAGGCTTATCTCAAGAGGTGAAATTATTGAAAAAACCTCTTCCGAAGAACAGCTATCTGAAGAGATTCATTCGACTATGCAGTCCTCCAAAACACAAAATCAACTGGCGTTCGCAATACCATTTTGAAACGAAAGTAAGATGTATCCTGCTTCTATTCTATAATCTCCGACTACAGCTGATTCTATTAGGACACAATCAGTCACTCTTAGTCATTGTACGTAATTAATCATTCCTCAGTGCTCCTGACCAACCACAAGGAGACTTAGTAGTCAGGTTTTTAAGTCAAAGACGCTGGTTGAGGATTCCATCCTCCTGTTTAGGTTTTGGTTCCCCAGTGGAATCTTGGCCCACAACGTGCTTTACACATATGAGTGCCTTCGTACCAAATCGGTTGCCGCGTAGTCGGGTCGTCTTATTCGCTGCATAAATTAGGGAGGATAAGTGAAAACATGCAAATGCTGACGATTCGCATCTTTTTCATTGTCGTCTCTCAAGGCCAATTCTGTCACACTTGACAATCAGTCCGGCTGTAGGAACCCCAGTCAGGCACCTAAGAAATTATCACATCGCACGCAATCTTTCATATATATACCGCAGCAACGTCAGTGGTATACGTATCAGCAATATACGTCAGCAACACAAGCCTTGTTCTCATTTTTGCCGAAAACTAACGTGTAAACTCTAGGGCAGATCGGCCAAGAAGCTGTCTTTGTACATACCCTAGATATTTCACCGATTGACATCTCTCGCATTTCCGAAGATCGAATGCAAGATCCAGGTACACCTGTCAAACCTACGGTGCTCTCTCTACCTAGGCGAACCGACTAGGAACTTCGGGTCATCCTGTGGCTGCTACAGCGGGTTGCGTAGGTTAGCACGTTGAGGCTTGCATACTAAACTGGATATCCGTAAACGGCCAATTCAGTGCTACCCGACTATCCACGTTGACAAAGAATAGCCCTGGTCGAAGTAACCAAGTCCCTTTTTGCCTTATCCAATTACGTACTGAAATGCTTTCCATCAAAAACTGACCATCCCCCTGTGCACCATGAAGATCTCGGATAAAATTATAACAGATTTCAATGCATATGTAGGATGCCTAAGCACAGCAGAAGCACGTCTTGGTGGTATATTTAGTCTCAACACAATGATGACGCTGAATGTCTTTTGAAACTTTACTCTTCCTCACCAGTTTCTTAAGTAATAATATGCCTTTCTGCCGGGCTGCTGGATCAGATCAGCTTCTACCAGATTCGTACAAAGATGAATGGGAATGATTGTGCTCCAACTCGACTAGGTTGTCCGTACGCCCTTGGAAATGAGAACGTTCCCGAGAATTTAGGCGAACTGGTAGCTGTACCCGTGTTCAAAAAAGGTACTCAGATCGTCCGATCTCAAACTACTGGGCTCCCCTAAATAGTGACTTCCATGTTCAGAGAGAGATCAACAAACAGGGTTTTGACCTGGCATAAGGTGGACTGATCGTATCTTTATATCATATTAATCGTTTGAACAGTGCCACACGTGCCATCGGCGAACACTCGCGGCTTTCTTAGAATTTGAAAAAGGCACCTTTGAGTTTGTAGATAGATTGGCTCTCCTAATTATTCTTAGCAAAAGAGGGAGGCCCTCGAAGACCGCAAACATCCTTTGTGTCTTGAAATTTCATACCTTGGGTTATGGGGCACAATGAGTTGTCTAAAATCTTAACTACGACTCGTGGGGTTTATCAGGACTGTCTCCTTTTTTGTTGATCGGTTGATGTATTTCGGCGGCTGCATAGGGCATGACTGTATCATACCAGATAGAATCAATGCGCGGATAACGAAAGTGCGGGTAGTGTTTGTCAACTTACTCAATTTACGGAGTCAAAGACGAACCTCGGTGAAGCTAGAGTTCTGTATAGTTGAGACTTGGCTTCTCCGATCCGAGGACCTCAAGCATCTTCACGTTTGATCACCAGTGTCTCCATAGCACAGCGAAAGTTATCAAGCTTCAGTTAGTGTGTGCCACAAAGTGTTGCGTAAGCAAGCGATTCGGTAACGAATCAGAGTCGTTAGGATAGCAGATTAAGGTGGTTTGGGAATACATCACATATGCCTAACCACCAGTTATCCAAGAAAATGTGGTTTTCCGTTCCAAGCCATTGTGAAGCAAATGTTCGCGTGATATGATATGGCAACGCGAAATGAAAGCGGACACAGTCAAAGTGAGTGCTGCGGGACCTTCACGCTCTCCTCCACATGATCCCCTGTCCCCTGTCGCTGGAAACCCTAAGAGACATGGCAACAACCGACTCCCGTGGTGCGCATGCTGTCAATTCCCGTCTAATGTTCATCTGTTGCTGTGTGTTGGGCTCATGTTGAATGAGGCTCGCAGACGCTGGGTCAATCCCGCTGATAGCGCTAACTCTGGTTAACATTTTCTGTCACCATAGGAATGGTGTAAGTATAATTCTTCGGTTTAATAAACTGATTCGCGCAGAAGGTGATCTTTTTTCTTAATTTTGAATAGCGGGCGAAGTAAACAAGTCACGGAACAAATCGAGAAACAATGGGAAAAACGAACCTGCAGATATGTCCCCGGATCACGAAGTGCCTGATGTACACACTTCTGATAAGGTGGGTTCAACCGCCTGCGAACAGACAGGGAAATCATTTGGTGAGGGCTAGAATCTGTAGTTCGTTGTCCGATCGGTCCGTAGAAGACTTCGTGTAGGGGTAGATTACTTGGACAAGGTATTAGTCGAGACAATTCACATCGTAGCCAGGTTAGAAATGCGGATCGTTCTTGTTCCCACGGCGTCTGCGGTCGACTGCAAGGCGAACTGTAACGCGCTGGAGAGGAAGCCGCGATTTGCTGAAGATGCTAATAGAATGAAAAGAAATACAAATTCGTTATCTGTTAGATGCCCTAACTGAATTCTAGGCAATGTCAGGTCACGCCGGAAATAAAGTCGTGAATATCAAGTCACTCCTGCTTCACATACGTCAATACAATAATAATCGATTATCAGTTGACCGAAGAGTTTAAAAAATAGTCTGTTATCCCACAAAGGAGTAAAATCCCCTACAGTGACCACTTAGTTCCGAATCCACAAAAATGACATCGGTAATGAGCAAAATATCAACCACCGGGGAATTCCGGTCCTGTTAGCCCGTAATTGCTGCAGACGTTCATAAACACTGCACTACGGCAGCCGTTGCCCATTCAGCTCTACTGAACAATCGGTCTGAAAGTTAAGTACTTACTTAACGACTGTCCCCAGTGTATCAGTAAGAAACTGGCATTCAGACATGTCGCAACAAAGTAACACGACGCATATGATTAGGCTGGGCCAAGCGACTGATGATCATTTATAGGGATTGGTGACTTCCTAAGGTACTGAAAGTGGTAGTTTTGTATGAAAGCTACTGGTCACCAAGATTACAGGCATTTTTAACGCGCAAACTGAGGTGGTGCCCCCAAAAAATAATAAATAGTCGTTCAGCTATAACACCCTTTCGATGCACGGCTGCCATGCCACCCAAGTGAAGCACGAGAGTTAAGATACTGCCAGTTTGCCTTAGTCTAGACAAATGCAGTCGAAATGTAGGGGTTGGATTCGAACAACGGACCTTCCGGTCAGTAATTTTGCGTCCTAACCATGGAGCTACCCCGAGCCCATCTTATCTCTTACTCTCAATCTTTTAATTAGGTAGGTTTCATACCTTCGGAGTGGAAGATGTTTTAATAGGGAGCTTACCAGTGAACTATACAGCCTCCCTGAGAAGGACAATTGTACATGTTCTGAGAGATTGATGTCCAATGCCTATTTAAGTTGGGGATAGAGGATAGTGAAAAAACATCGCTACGACGGTTGATCAAAGGGAATAGATCAAAGATGACGGTGATTAACATGAAGTAAAGATGAACAACAAGTGGCAAAGGACGATCCTGGCGTCAGGACCCACCTGACGCAGTCCCCAGCGACTGATCTTTTGCTTCCCGTTCAATGCTTGTGCGGCCGGACTGACTCCGACGGGTGAGCCTTCCGGATCAGTTTCCAGCCCTGTGATTCCGGAACCCGTGTTTATTTCTGATAATAGCGGGAACAAAATATGCAGTCGGAAAGTGCGTAAGAGAAAGCGAAAGGGGATACCGAAAAAGCAAAATGATCAAGCTCATCTAATGCGTAAAAAGTATTAGGAACCAAAAAAACATAGAGACAGTTAAACAAAATGAGAAACCCAGACCGTGACCTACTCGTAGATGCGGCATCTAATGATTGATACCAGTCCCTCGTGGTCCTCTCTAGTTCACGGAGTTCCGAACAGCATTCTTGGACGATGCTGGGAGACCAGAGGTTGCAGAATCTACCAACTTTTTCGTCCTGTAGATGTGACTCCAACCAACCAGCGGCTCGATCTATTGCCTGAAGCAAGTTATCTTTCGTCAGGCCGCTGTGGGAATAAAATAAAGCTAGAAAAATAAATTGCGAGGACGAAAACACATCTGCACAGGGACACAAGATTGGTCGTCACGACGGTGAAATTATACGGGCCAATATTCTCCGTAGTCTGATTTCCTGTTCGAGTATAAGCTAATTATGTAATCAGGTGATTTCCGCTACAATATGGAAAATCTAAGACAGCTGGATGAAAGTCCATTTCAGAGAGGAAGTGAAAGTGATGTTGGCGTAATTGATCAGGTTGTGGATTTCCCAAAACAGAAACGATAATTTTGAAGGTGTAAGTCACAGTAACATGAGCTGAAGAAGGCCAGTACAACAATCAGGAACAGGGAAGAGAGTGTTGTATGAGAAGTAAAACGGAACCTCCAAACAAACTTTTCGTCGGGAAGTGAAGCTACTACATACATGCCAAGGAAGACTTCTTGTTCGCAGGTACTACGTGCAATGAGGCGTTAAGGATTGAGCCATGCAGACACCAAGTTGAGTTGTCTTGGACAGATTGATCGCCGTCGTGCTATCCGACACAACTGTCGCTTCCATTAACTTCTGTGAACATATTGGTAACAGCTTTGTCCTGCTTACTGAGTATTAGGTTACCAAGTTCTCCCATCCCCGTAAACCTGTAGAGAAGGAAATTAGGTTCGCACATTCGGATAACTCCGATCTTACGATAATTCTAGTACACAACTGTAGACCACATCACAATCCTCACATGCACCTGTCAGCCAAGAAATATGCCTAGGAATTCGGACCATACAACGCACATATGATGCACTCATCACCATCATCATCATCGACAGCATGACACCAATGTTTAACACTGATGCTTCACTGCCGAACAACCATGATTTATTTGAAAGCCTTATCATGAAGGAAAGAGTAAAAGTGAACCGGGAAGAGTTTTAGTGCTAGCCTAACACCTCTCCAACGACCTCATGCACCAAACTAACTGCAGCTGTTGATGCGTGTAGGTCATGTGGCGCGGATGATCTACGAAAAGGTGACAACTACAGTGCACGGTACAATTAATTTGTAAGAATTGATGGCCAGTTGTTCTTTCTGTCTGAGCTTCAGATCATCGCATTTTCTTCTTTTCAACAAACCAAAATCATCGTGAAGTCCAAGTATGCTGGGAACTGCCTCTGCGTACACGCTACATTGTTAAAATAGACGAACGAGGAAACAAAAAACGAACAATGAGTAAAAAGACAACGTAATTAACTGGGTTTGGGGAAAAGTTCGTTGGGCTGCGGTTTTGTTGCTCCACTCTTTAAATGACACCACAGCCGTCCGTATTATTTACTGAGGTTTAGCATACAAGCTCGCTTGGTAGAAATCGCTTCCCTCTGAGATCTCAACAAGAAACGCAGGAACTGTTAACTACATCTCTGCTCAATAACATCAGAATGTACAGTGGCGCGCTGTCACATTTTTCTCATTTCTCTGCTTGTCTGATCACGTGGTTAGTTGGTTTCAGACCTACCATCGGTTTTGGTCGTGAGGGGCAAACAACCGCGTCCCCAAGAACCCAAGCTATTTGATCAAATCGGAAATATCACTGCAGTTGTGTCACGTTCATCCAGGACCTTGCTCCCTTAGGGCAACTACTTGCCCCTCCTAGATGAGCCTCTGGGTGAGGGCCGTCAACAGTAATTAAATCGTAAAGATCTCATTATCAGTGACAGCTTGATCTGAACCACTCAGAGTCATCAAGCTTTGTCGACCCAGTCTGGCTTCGTTTCCATTGGACATACCGAAGCGTCAGGCTAGTTTATGCCTTGTTGCTTACCTGGACATAAGGTCACATGACAGACGTGAATTGCTCAACCAAATGCCGATAAGTAGAGCCTTAGCTAGACTGACGATAGATTTACCTGTTATGAATAAACTTAAGGATCACCAAACTTTTATCTGAGGATAAAATCCGGTCCCCGAGGCTGTGCAGTCAAGTCGGCTTTCACTTGGTATCAACTGGGAGATAATGTGCCCGAAGATCGATCGCATTACCATAACCGACACCATCCTATTTTTTATTTAGAGCAAAACAGAAAACGTCTAACCAAACGATACTATCCTCTTTGCTTTCAAGTGGCACATCGAGGTGATTTCTTGAGTTCGTCCATGAAATCAAATGAACACGAAGTGAGGCTACTCGACAGCATTTATGTAGTGCTCAGCGAACGGTGAAAACTGTCAGTCACAGAGAAATTTCACCGATCCTGTCACATCCCAAGCAAGAGGAAGTGTGTGGTACATTGTTTCTTTGGACTAATTACACCCCGCCCTTAAAATTTTTCTACTTCACACCTCTGAAACTCATGTGCTGAAATGAGGTCGGGCATTTTCAGACCGCTTCACACCATGCAACGTCAAATGAGGTGGTTAGACGATTACCCGCGATCTCTGGGAACAACAAGCACCTAGTACCGTGTATACCAAACCAACCAGTTGGAAAAGCTTAGGACCTATTGGAAAACCGTCTTTCCTGAGCCGCCTTTCCTCACTTATTGCGAAACATTAACAAGATCTGCCTGTAGATACGAAGTCCTACCAGACAGTGCAAATCATCATAGAAATCCCATTGCTTAGTCCATACAGTAAAAATGAAGGAAACTGCAAACCGAGGAAGCGGAAGACTTAAATGCTACGTCAACGCTCAAGGAATTGGATACAATGTATGCCAGATGTTTCTTTTGGGAAACATTTCTTCAGGAAATTACATCAAGCTTCAGACAAGTTTTCTCTTCGCGGACAAGGAAACTTACCTGTGGTATGGTGTCTATGCTCAGGATTCCCCAGATAATCCGAAATGCTTATTATGTCCATGCATGCGCTTGATCTGCATGCAACTTCGGACAGTTTCTAATGAGTACATCTCTCTTTTCGGCTGGCGTAACTACACCGGAATGGTAAAGCAGTGCGTGCATCAAAAAATCTGAAAGTTCATGGGTGATGAAGACCCTGCGACTACTAAAAGCTTAAACCTAAATGGAGTTCAAATGTCTTCCAAGGTCTTTAGTTTATTGGTTTCCATCAATCACTTATTCTTTGTGCATCCAAACGCATATGAACAAGGTACTGAAATCTTCACTAATTCTAAAACGAGAGAAGAACACCCCATACTCACAAATTCGCCCTAATGAGAACTACTTAATGGATTGGAAATCGGGCATTGGAGACTGTAAGGATGAACAGCTAGAAATGTAATTATGGGAACTCAACTTCGGCATAGTTAAACACACCTGAGCAAGTTTAGCGTCAACTTGAATTCCTCTGATTGTGTCAAACCGTTCTTGAGCCAGGTACGGTAGAGAGCAAGCGTCTGGAAACGAACGCAGAGAAATAGGATGGGAGCATATCACGTACCGCAAATACAGTGCACGACAGTTTAGAGCATAATTGAATACCAGTCAATAGTGGTGATCCTGACAATATAGTGAGACGAAATTTTTAGTCTCTACAAAACGAGGCTTAGCAACGTAATTACCGACTGATCAGTCAAAGAGAAACGGTACATGCGGTAAGTCCTCTCGGACGCATAATGAAGGCATGCATCAAATAAATGCAGCGATTTCAGATAGTTGGAGAATACGTGAGTTCTGATGGCACGGCAGAATGGCGAAGGCTAAGGTCAAACCACCTCAACGACCTATGACCGAAATGGCCTACGAACAGGCAATGGTCTCGAGCTTTCCGGCATTGAAACCACTATCGGCTTTGTCTGCTTAACTTTCCCCGCAGTTGCATTTCTCTCGCTTAAATGAAGGCAGTGGTAATCCTCGGTCTGGATCTTCCGCTATGCGAGGACACCAGATGTCCGGTTGCTTGAGCATTTCAAATATCCCCCTTAAAAGGGAGTTCAATGTAATTGTTAGACGGTTGAGGTCCCATTTCGTTGGGTCGTTTGGTAAAACAGTTAGGATATCCGTTTTTTCACATGGTATTTGTAAGCATCTTTAGTTCAACTTCAGTGTGCATATTCGGCGTGCGTGTCAGAACAGAGTTCTGTCCAAGTCGTGTTACTGTTTCAAAAGATCAAAGGATTAGGAAACGCATAGACAACGCTGACCACGTGGGGTTTCCAGTAAATGCTACGTTTAACTTATCCGAGAGGATTACGTGTGATGAGTATATTCAAATACGAGAGGTAGTCAGTAACTTCCTCATAGGGCTAAATCAGTAAATAAGTTCACTTATAAGTGCGGTGAAAGTAACATAGGTGGGACCGATAGCAGTCCCGACGCCAGGACGAAGAAGCACGGGACCCGTTGGATTAAGAACTTAGGAACAGACCAAAGCTCAATACCATTGTCTACTCGAAGGCTACTAAATGGTTCAGCTGTTACAACCTTTCAACGCCTAGCTGCCAAGCAACCCGAAGGAAGCACCGAGGTTTTGATACTGCCAGGTTGTCCAAGCCCAGACGGGGGAAGCCGAGAGGCAAAGGTCGGGTTCGAACCATAGACATTCCGGCCAGTAAATATGCGACCTAACCACTGAGTCATCTCGCCCGTAGGCTATCGCATTCAGTGACTGGTAAACAACTTTCGGTCATAGGTCACTAAAATGGTTTGACCTCAGCGTTTACCATTCTTTCTGACCACTAGAACTCACAGATCCTCTTTGTTGGCCGATCAGTGTGTAACTAACTGATTAACTCCGCTTTTGTACGGACCACAAAAATGTCGTTTCATTGTTACCGGTAATTTGATGAGCCGACACGAAATGAATGCACCTGTCGGTTTCCGTCTTCTAACTGCTTTACTTGAATTACTGAGGGTACATAATTGTTTGAAGACCCTCACTTACTCCAGAAATGCTCGTCATTAACAGAACCTCCCATTTTCTGCTTTCAGATTATCAAGACCTGGGTTGAAATTCATCTGCCCAACCTGTATGATACTCTACAGTTGATCTTTGTCCATATGCCATTGTTTTGCCACGTACTACGGTACTTTTCATGTCTCGTTGGTTGATTCACGTTTTCCACAATTCGATATCTTACAGCGAGCTCATGACTATGGGTCTTCGCTTTCCTGTGGACCGATTTCGAGCAAATTTGTGATGGAATCAACCATTACAGCGAGCAAGATAAGAAAAGGATAGCATTCGACTGTCGGGAGCATGTTCAACAAAATGTGAGACAGTTACATAAAAGTCGACTGTTCCGACGAACAAGCGCTATAAAGTCAGTGAAAGAATCGTCTCAGATTCTCAGGCGCTTCATTGGGGATGATCAGACCGGAACAGATCACGCCATTGCACATTTAGTCACTGTGAAAGTTAGGTCCGAGCAAACTTCGGATGAATTCATTATTTATGACATGGTGCAAAGGCTATCTCAAGATTCATTCGGGTCGGCATCGTTCAGCTGTAGCACCCTTCCGGTGCCTAACTGCCACGCGACCTGAAGGTTGCACGAGGGCTGGGATACTGCCAAGTTGCTCAAGCCTAGACAGGGGAAGTCGAGAGGCAGAGGGCGGGTTCGAACCACGGACCTTCCGATCAGTAGTTTCGCGCTCTAACCACTTCGGCCGTCTCACCCCCCATTCGGGCCGGCACCCAGGATAGCGAAGTGCTGCTCTAAACTAATAATAAGAATGGCGAGTGTCGACAACCAACATTCGACTTCTCGGCTGAATTTACGGGAAAAGCCTGCTTTGTGAGCCCATAACGCATAGGGAGTACTGATGAGTTGCAGAGAGTGCTCGCTCATTTAACGATGTAATGAGAAAATCGAACCATGCTGACCAATCAGCATTGCGGAGCTTTTCTAACGCGATCACTTCTGGGTCAGTTCCAAGCCTTCTTATCTAATGGTTGGCGAAGTTGGTGTTCGTGGTTTATAACTGAACAGCACAGATGAGCATATTTTTGGTGAAAGAGAACCGTAATCACTCACCGATTTTCCAAGCGGTTGAGCAGAAAGCGAGGAGCAGATGAATTGAAACCAACTCAATACGGGCGAAACGAGATATTGCACTTTCCAGTGTGAAGCTAATTGAGTAACCAATCGATCCACAACAGTGGGCTTCGTCTTCACCCGACCAGTTGGGCTGACGGGAGGTGATATGGACGGATCGGTCACAAGGCTGGTGACCGATGGGTAGTGAAGAGTTAACATATTGGCCAATTCAGTTGGTGGAAGTGTGGTCAAATAAGCACGAGCCCGTTCGATCGGTAGTAGTAACTCTGGGTTCGGAGAGTTCAAATAGTGTTCTAGCATGCAGAACTTGAGAATGAAGGAAGTTGAGACCGATTGTAAAACGTGCACTACCCATGAATTGACATCGTAGCAAAAATTAAACAACTCCACTACAACGCCAATTCCAATTACTGCCATCATGAAACTTGTAGGGTATAGGATAACGAAGATACTTTCAAGTCATTCACGCTTAAAAAGGAGCAGTTAAAGGCTGAATCGAACCACATGCCTTTCTGGTCAAAAGTTCGCATCATGACATCCGCAATAATACAATATCGGACCTTACCACAACCACAATGGAAGTAATCATACGCCTACTAATAAAATCCACGTGAATGTAAATATCGCTGCCGCTGACGTCAACCAAGCTGAGGGGGAAAGTGGGCCAATAACGTCAGCCGCTTCCCCACTAAAATATGGATATGATGTACATGTCTAAGGTTCACGATCCTACATACGGTGAGAAGACCTGTGAACGCAAAAATAAAGACACGACAGAGGATAACTCACCTGAATCCGACGCATGAAATTTTGCACGGAATAGTCGAGACAAAGGAATAGTGAATCCACAAGATGGGTGATCATGGAGTGAGTCAGACGAAAACCAGGGAATTGAATGAGCTGAGGTAAAGGGAATAGGTAAACAAATTAGCGGTTATTTAACAGAGTCCGTTTGGACAGTAGAAATCTAGAATTCAGTTTGATTCAATTAAACGGCTAAAAACCATTCAGACTGGTTTCAGCTGATATCGTTTCGAATACCGGAAAGTGGGAGGTACAGCCAAGTACTGAAGGCGACAGTATGTTCACTTAGTTTGAAAACTGGGTAGCTACGCATTGAAGATAATAGGGTTGATGCGCGAGCGCCACTGACCGTGCGATTTGGTCATTTCTACCAGTGTCATTGAACATTGATGAGTTGAGTCCCATGGTCTCCATCCAGGGAGACGGAAGTAGTCGAACCGAGTCAGTTTACTGGTAAGACTGCTGTAATCTACCGTTTTCGTGGATAAGTAATCCGATACACTACGACATTTGCGCTTGGTGAATTTCACATACAAAGATAAAAACACCTCAAGGTTATAAACCTTCCATTGGCCGAAATGAGCAGGCCTTGGCAATGGTCCCGACAAATCTGCTTACACCTCACAGCGATCGGAGAAGCAAGATGAAATCCGTAAGCAGGAATTGTAGGGTATCAATGTTAAGGGTCTGGAGACACAGACAAACCACTGAATGATGAGGTAATCAACTATACGCACAAAAATAACTCTGAGATGTGCGAGCTGAAGTCCCGCAAGCGCATTTTCGATAGGCGTTTCCATTAGACTGAGATACCACAACCATAAAGTACTGCAGTGAGCTTCGCAAAACGCACAGAAACAGAGAAACAGATGTCCTAAGTGCAAGGGCTGACGTGACCGAGCTCGATAATCACACTGCGTCCTGGAAAGACACTCTGGCACGGGGCACTTGCACGCCACAGATCACCACTAGCAAAGGACAATAAATGCAGCATGAATACCGTGGAACGATCTTAAAAAAGTGGGAAACACATTCAATGATGTACCGGAATGAAACAAACGTCATTGGTACTGGAAAAGTACATCAGTTCCGAATTCTATGTTGTAAAACTTGGCTGCACAAAAGGAATACGCAGAACCCAACCGTTGACCAGGCCCTCATATGTACAGCTTAAATGTCTTTTGTAAGCGTCCTGGACCCATAATAATTAACCTCGAGGAAAGAAAGTGCCCCCATTTTAGTATGGAATAGAGCAGCCCCTTACACGAAGAAGTGAGCGCTTTATAGGTGCCAGCTCATAAGGTCCACAGGGTCTATCCAAAATGCGGCCAATTAGAGAAACTGAAAAACCGGTCGGTAGCCAATCTATCTTCTTGATAATGTTGACGATGGACAGTCGACGACGAGTAAAACGATGCAAACAAGCCCGGGAAGGGATAACAACAGCCACAAAAACAATAACTCACCGCTTCGAAGACGGTCTCCAGAAACGCGGCCGGAGGTGGGACAGTAAAGCGCTCAGTCTTCAAGCGACCCAACGTGGAAGCACATAGACGTGATTCAAACCCAATCTCGGGGCTTGTGGAAAGACCGAGAACCAGGTAAATAGGTAATCCGCGAGAGCAACCGTCGGATGATCCAGAGCGGTAGATAGAAGTCAGATGGATAAATTCTTCCAAAACATGACTCGGGATAGATTCGACTTGAGGTAATATGATTACCAAGGGCCCGGCATTGTTTAGGCTCACCTCCTTGGTCCGATCAGATAAAACAGATGAAGATCTCTTGCTGACGGGTGTGATGGCTTTTGCATGAACGTCTGACTCCACATCAACAGCTCGGTGTCCGAGACTACGTGGAGCTTGGTTAGAACGCGGAAACATGCTACTCCGAAGTTGCCTGCCTGGGACCTTTGCACTGGGCTGACTGAGACTCCTTCGAGAATGGGGAGCTTAAGCAGTGTGAGATGAGAAAATAAAAAAGAGGTGTACGGAAAATGATGCTTCGGTGGATCATGTTGAACAACCGTACAACTAGGTGGGTAATAGGTAGAGGAAGGAAAATCAGTTGGTCAATATTACTCGGCTTTAAGGACCGTGTATAGCCAACCGGTGGTAGACAGTTCGCTTCTCTAGGTAGTTCTGTGAGACTGACTAGTAAGATCGGACTCCGTTAGTTAAGTATACCGGTCAGCTGCACTAGCCGCCATCAAGTGGTATCCAACAACGATGCACACTGTTCCCATTTCTATCCAAATTCATGATCGAGGAGATAATGGAACAAATGCTGGAGAATCCAGATAACCACTGTTATCGACAAACCACCATTTTGAAACGGTTGTCGGCGGAAAGTTTGTCAGACGGGAGTGTTTCTCGTTTCTGAAGATTCGTACGCTGAAGGATTCGTACGCTAAAAAACACCATCGAAGAGAGATAGAGTTGAGTGCCCTGGTAACACAACTTAATTTGCAGGTAAGTGTATTTGACCATGTGCTCAAGTCTTTTTGGATAAACCGACCACGACCACCCAGTCTTTTGGTATAAGCTTTGAATCCACAAAGTGTACGTTTATGCTTCCAAAACTACAGCCAACTATAATCCAGAGAGAAACTAGGTGTTATGGATCGTTTTGCATTTCCCTGAAGCTTATCGGCTCCGTCAGAAGAACGACAGATGAGATCAAAGCACGAATATATACGGCTTGACTCCCGCATGCTAACTTGAGACACTTGTGGGGACAAAGCGATCTCAAGTGACGTTGATAGCACGCTCAGTTATGATTTGCGGCAGCTACAACCAATCCACGACAAGTACTCAGTCCTTACAGCTAATGATGATGATGATGATATCGCTTGTCTTGCCATATGGTTGCTAAGCATGGTCTCTTCGAGCAGCGCAAGTGAACCATCCTCAAGCGTTCGATAACTAGTCGGTCTAGATACTGTTATTCGTGCAGAATAGAAACCAACTATTGTCCACGCTGTCAAGCGATTCCTTGCCATATGCTAAGCATGGTCTCTTCGAGCAGCGCAAGTGAACCATCCTCAAGCGTTCGATAACTAGTCGGTCTAGATACTGTTATTCATTCGGAATAGAAACCAACTATTGTCCACGCTGTCAAGCGATTCCCGCTGTTCCGGAAATTCGTACTGCACAGGAACAGCCTGTGATCGGCACACATCTGAAGTAACCGGTCTCCGTTGTCCGTGAGTCTAGTGTCCAAACCAAGACGACCACCCAATCGGGCCTCAGCAGCGCTTAGTCTACCCACCTGGGCGTTCATA